TTTTTTTTTTTTTTTTTTTTTTTTTTTTTTTTTTTTTTTTTTATGCAACACCGGGCATGGAACCCAGGGCTTAATGCATGGTAGGCAAATACTCTATCAACTGAGCCACATCCCCATCCCTAAGTGATCTTTGAGCTAGCTGGTCATCAAGCTCTTAATTATGGCAGAGAGGTTATCAGCTGGCTACAGCCAGGATGCCCAGCAAAGGAAGATTGGTGTGTCATGGCTGCTACTACCTCTCCCTGGGCAGCAGCTAGGAGTGGTGCTTCCCCCACTTGCCATCATTCTAGGCAGCAGTCTTACGACTGTAAAGAAAATTAAAAGGCTTCTCTGGGGCTGGAGAGATGGCTCAGAGGTTAAGAGGACTGGCTGTTCTTGCAGAGGTCCTAAATTCAATTCCCAGCAACCACATGGTGGCTCACAACTATCTATAATGAGATCTGGTGCCCTCTGCTGGCCTTTTAGCATACACACAGGCAGAACACTATACATAATCAATAAATAAATATTAAAAAAGGCTTCTCTGTGAATGTAGGTAAGACTCCTTTTATACATAAACTGACCAACAATAGTCAGCGTCCTCCTGCCCCTCCTGTGCTGCTGATGAGTGAGTTCCAATTTAATTTTATCTACATCATGTTCTTTTTTATCTTTTGGTATGGCCTGATGCTTCTCTAAAAGGCCTGGGAGCTCTCAATAATTCAAAAGTGTAATTGCTTAGTTCATGTATTATTTGTATTATGCTCTTCACACACAGTTCAGGGCTTGGCAGTTTTGCCTATACAAAGCCTCAGTGAATAGTAGATAAAAAGATCTGAGCAGCTCTGGATTATTCATTATGCTGTTATGGCATAATGAATAACTCCCTTAAAGAAGAATAGTAATTTTAATTTTACTTAGAATCCTTTAGGGAAACAGCCTGCACAGATTGGTGGAACCAGGGTAACACTCGATTTCTGCTTTCAGTCCCATCCATAATTATGTATCTTCTCCATGCCTGGGATTGCTGGGCCTTTAACAGATGTCCTAGGAAATGGTTAAGAAATGGTTAAGAATTCCTCAATGTATGGCCTTTTGAGTTTTTGTGTTTTTTGTTTTTTGTTTTTTTTTTTATTTATACAGCATTCTGTCTGCATGTGTACCTGCGCACCAGATCTTACTACAGATGGTTATGAGCCACCATGTGGTTGACTGGGAATTGAACTCAGGAATTTAGGAAGAGGAGCCAGTGTTTTTAACTTCTGAGGCATCTCTCCAGCCCCCCTCCTTTGAACTTTTTAAAGGATTGGATCGTATAGATTTACTGCAATTATGATGGGCAGGTTAAATGTTAAAAGCATCCTCTCTTGACTAATATGGAAATGTCTAGCTCTTCCTCTACTGGTGTAGTTCCCAGTGTAAGAAAAAGTACTGTTCAGTACTAGGTGCCCGGTAGAACAATCACGACTTGGCTAGAAAGTATCAAGCCAATGGGTAATAAAGGAGCCTGTTTAGGTATGTATGGGAACCCATGAAAATCAAGTACCCATAAGATCCGTTTCCTATGTTCTATTCTATACTTTCTGCTGGCTTTACCTGCCCAGACTAGAATAGCAAAAGGAACAGACATTATTTTGGGGGAGACCTGGGTATTTGTTGCGGTATTTAGCCAACTTCAGTATCATTTTCTGGCAGCTATTTAATTGTTAAGCCTTAGTTTCTGAAAATTTAAGGAATACTCTAATTAGTCCCATTTTTTTACATCAAGACAAAAGAAGGAAGTTAAGAGAGATGGCTCAGCAGTTAAAAGCACTTTCTGCTCTTGTGACACAGTCAGTAACTCTGGCTCCAAGGGATCTGATGCCCTCTACTGGTCTCCACAGGTACCTACACACAGGTAGCACACACATGTACACATAAATTAAAATTAAAGAATAATAAGTAGAGTATGGTGTTACATGTCTGTAATCCCACACTTGGGAATTAGATGTAGAAAAATTAGGCATTCAAGACCATCCTCGGCTACATGGCAAGTTTGAGGTGAGCCTGGACTACATAAGACATGTCTCAAAACAATAACAAAATAATAATTGTGAAGCAAAAATAAGAAGTGAAAAAGATGGTTTTATAATATACAAATGTAGGTAAGATATTAATTCATACTCAAAGGGTGTAGCTAAAGGGAGTATTAAGTATGACCATTTAAAATGACAATTGTAGTGGCTGGGAAGTAGTGGTGAATGCCTTTTATTCTAGCACTCAGGAGGCAGAAGCATGGGATCTCTGAGTTCCAGAATAGCCTGGTCTACAAAGTGAGTTCCAGGACAGCCAGGGCTATGTAGAGAAACCCTATCTCAAAAAACAAAAAACAAAAAAAAAAAAAAGCAAAAATAACTTTAAAAAATTAATGTTGTAGAAACTTGAGAGGTCTGATAATACTGATTAAGATTTTTTTTTGTACTGAGGTGGGTGGCTGGGTAGGTGTGAAGGCTACATATGTGTGGGTACCCACAGAGGCAAAGGGTATTAGATTCCCCTAAAGCTGGAGTTACAGGCAGCTGTGAGCCATTCAGCATTAGTACTGGGACCTGAACTCGGGCCTTCTGGAAGAGTAGCGAGTACTTTAGCACTGAGCCATCTCTCTAAGCCCCATTTTGTTTTTTGAGACAGAAGCTTGCTGTGTAGCCCAGGCTGGCCTTGAGCTCACAGCTCTCCCTCAGTCTCTCCTGTGTGCCTCCTTTTTGGTAAATACAACTGCAGAACCTTTCAAAGGTGCAGGAAATTACAGAAGAAAAGAGAAATCACCACTTCTAACAACCACTGTACCATCTTAATTCTATTCTCAGTGTCTCTTTATGTGTGTGTGCATACATACACATATGAATCTATGTTTATACAATTGAGATCATAATGTAGAATCTTGTTTTTTTTTTTCATTTAGAAGTAAATGTCAGTGGAAAATACTCATGATAGAACCTCAACATTTTAATTTTAATGACCACACTGTACAAATATTTTAGAATATTCAAACTGTTGCAGTTTTTCATACTGTGAGCTGGCCATGTAAATCATAGGGTACCAGTAAAGGGTACATTCTTGACCTAGACTACCTGAATTTCCATTGTAGCTCTTACACTATCTTTATGACCTGGGGCTTATTCAACTTCTCTGTGCCTCAATTTCCTTATGTATAAAGGGGAGATAAAATAATGCCCAGCTGATAATGTATTAGTAATGAATTAGAGTAATTTGTGTAAGTGCTTACTATGTAGCCCAGGCTAGCCTCAAACTCTATCCTCCTGCCCCAGTCCGTAAACCATAGACTCTCTAAACTGTTCTTGCTTTTCAGAAGACAGCATCCCACGAACACAAATAGAAAAAAGGAAAACAAGCCTGTATTTTTCCAGCAAGTACAACAAAGAAGGTACCCACCCTTCCCCAAGCAAAATTGGGGGAGGGGGAGTCCAAGTCTTTTAAGAGTACAATTTTGACACCCCTATGTTTTTGTAGCGCTTAGCCCCCCAAGACGCAAAGCCTTCAAGAAATGGACCCCTCCTCGGTCACCTTTTAATCTTGTTCAAGAAACACTTTTCCATGATCCATGGAAGCTCCTCATCGCGACTATATTTCTCAATCGGACCTCAGGTTTGTGAGTCATTGTCATCTGTGTCCTGGTTAAGAGGGAAAGAACCAAACTACTTAAGAGGCTTGGGTTCGGGGTACATTTTGAGTTTGTGATGTTGGACAAGGCTTTTTCCTTTCAGCCCTTGGAACTCTTGACCTAGGAGACCATTGGACTGGCTAAGAGCCAGCATCCTTTTTGACACTGTCATTAATCAGTGACATCTACTTCTAGATGAGCTTTGATCTTACTCCCTCTATTCTTGGAGGCTCTCTATGTTCACTGGACGCGTATCGTGATTATCTAGTGATCTGATTATTTGAAAACTAGGCTAGCTTCAGTATAATTTGGACTAGTGACCAAGTAGATTAATGGTGTTGGTATTTGGCTCTATAAGTGGCTGCTGGTCCAGGTAATGCTTTAACAGTACTTAAACAAGGCTGGGGATATAGAGCCCTTGCCCACATACACAGTACCCTAAATCCATTCCCAGCACCACAAACACAGTAATAAAAATTTCTGAAGTTTCTAGATGTAAAACTAAACAGGAAGGCAGCCCTTCCCAAGACACGTGTCTGTCGTTGTTTATGCTCCCCAGGCAAGATGGCTATCCCTGTGCTATGGGAGTTTCTAGAGAAGTACCCTTCTGCTGAGGCGGCCCGAACTGCTGACTGGAGGGACGTGTCAGAGCTGCTCAAGCCTCTTGGTCTCTATGATCTCCGTGCAAAAACCATCATCAAGTTCTCAGGTATGTTTCCCTAGCCCCAAAGGAAGCAAGCTGTGACCATTGAAGGCAGCCACACCTTAAACTTTATGCCTTCGGATGCTGTATTAATTGAGGTCATTTAGCTCAAGCACCAAAGACCTTTAAAACGGCCTGCTTGCCCCACCCCACAGATCCATGCTCACCCAGACCGTAAATCTTGGCCCGACACTGAAGTGGCCCTGTGCATAGAAGTCGGAAGTATTTCCTCTCAGTCAGAAAAGCACAGACGAATGGTTAGGAAGAGGCAGGCGGTGAAGCGGTCGTCCTGCCCCAGTGTAGGGTCGGGAAGGTGACTTCCTCCGTGACCACATGTGGGGTGTGTATCCCTCAGATGAGTATCTGACAAAGCCGTGGAGGTATCCGATTGAGCTTCATGGGATCGGCAAATACGGCAATGACTCCTACCGGATCTTTTGTGTCAATGAGTGGAAGCAGGTAAGCCCACCGCCAGCCATAACGTAGCAGCACGTTTGCCTCTAGGGCAGAATAAGGCCACCAGTATGCCTAGATTAATGAGACGGGAGTCCTGTTTCAGTCCCAACCAGATGTGCCCTCAGTTCAAGGAGCAGCAGGGGCATGGGGGTGTGAACTATAGGAAGGGCTCTTCAGGTGCTGCCCAGGTCCCTTCGCTTTGGCTTCTGACTGAATTGAGTCTGTCACTCCCGACCCTGAAACCCATCTATGTTCTGTCTGATACTGACGGGGTTTTTTCCTGTTAAAAGGAGCCCCTAGTGCTGAGAAGAGATGGCTTAGTTGGCAAAGTGAAGACTGGAATTCAGATCCCCAGAGCCTCCATAAAAGCCAGGCCTGGCAGCATGCACCTTCTACCTGGTAGGCGCAGTACTGTGGGGGCAGAAACAAGAGGATGCCTGAAAGCTCCTGGATAGCCTGTCTAAGCCTGTAGACCAGATAGCCCGGCCTACGTGGTGAAGTTCCAGGCCCGTAAGAGACCCTTTCTCAAAAAAGTGCAAGGTGGGCCAGGGAGATGGCTCAGGGTATAAAAGTGCTTGTTGCATAAGCCTAGCAGCCTGAGTTCCATCCCTAGAACCCACAGAAAGGTAGAAAAAGAACTGACTCTAAAACAATTGTACTCTGAGCTACCTGAGTCCTCTCACCTCACACATGCACCAAGAATGTACAAGTGCCTGTAAATACACATACCCAAAACAAGATCCTCCATAGAAGATCAAATATTTGGACTCAGTGTCTTATTGTCAGGTTTCTCATATCTCAGACTGGAGTGTTGCATCTGGGTCCTACTCCTACTACCCATTCCATTGTTTCTGCGTAGCACTGGTGCCTTCAGATGGCAGCCTGACAGCTGGAGGATGTCCAGGCACACTCAGAGGATGGCCCTAACATAGCAAACCAGTGAGGTCTGGAGAAATGCAGGCGGAAGGGCCATGGTTCTCCTTCCACCCCTTCACCCACCAGAGCCATCCATTTGGCTTCACAGGGTCTGTAACTTCCAAATGCTGGGTGCTAATACTTGATCTATGTCATGCCATCACTTCAGGGCTGGGTTAGTGAGCTGTAAACAATGTAGGATTTCCGTTATACAAGGTATATGGACAGTCATGGTTGCTACTGGGTTCAAATTCCCTGTTCATCTCAGGTATATTATGATAAACTCCCTCACCAAACCTTTAAATGTGTCTATGACTGATACGTTGCATTTCTTCCAGGTGCATCCCGAAGACCACAAGTTAAATAAATACCATGACTGGCTTTGGGAAAATCATGAAAAATTAAGTCTGTCTTAAAGCTGCCTGTTTGAAATTTTCTATGCATTGCTTTGTGCTTCCATTTCTAAGCGCCCTGTGATGTGATATACAGTGAGCTCCCTTCCCACGCATGTAGGTTTCTTCAGTTTGTTAGAAGCCAGTGTATGTCTTCAGCCTCTGCCACAGGTAGATCTTTGTCAGTGAGTGTTGTAGACATACTTTGAAATTTGAAAAAATAATTGTTGAGTAAGGATCCTAAAAGTGTATTCAATTTTTCCAATGATGAAATTCAATGCGTCAGTGCTGAGGGGCAATTACCAGCACTCTTGCTGAGGAAAGGCTAACCATGGTATTCTCTTTCTGGACAAAGTGATGTTAGGGTGTACAATTGTGTATGAAGGAAGACTCTGCCATTATTATGGGTATTGCAGTGTTACAGTGTAAATAATGAGGCATTTACCTTAGAGAGAAATCACCAAACAAAAACTACATTGACCTACACATGGTGGCACACACCTGTAATCCTGGCACTCAGAAGGCTAAGGCATGAGGATGGAAAGGACCAGCATGTATTGTATGTAGAGAGAGACTGTCTTAAAACAAACTGGGCCAGTGAGATGGCTCAGTAGTCACTTGCTGACAAGCCTGATGATCTGAATTCCATCCCTGGAACCAACTCCTGAACGTTAACCTCTTACCTTTACTTGAAATCACACATACATATTAGAAAATATACAAATTTTTAAGTAGTGGTCTGCATGGGCAGTGGCTGAGCATGCCTTTAACCCTGGCACAGGGGCAGGGGGAGCTCTGAATTTGAAGAGAGCCAGGGCTACACAGAAAAAACCTGTCTCAAAAAAAACAAAAACAAAAAAGGAGGAAGAGGAGTAGGTGGGGGAGGAGGAAAAGGAGAAGGAGGAAGAAGAGGGAAAAGGTGGTGGGAATAATCTGGAGAGAGATGGTTCAGTGGCTTTATATGTTTGCTGCTTTTCCATAGGACCTGAGTTCAGTTTTTAGCACTCACATCAGGTAGTTCACAACTGCTTGTAACAACAGCTCCTGGAGAACTAACACCTTCTGTCTTCATTGGGTACCCCACCCCGAGGGCCAAACCGAAAGGAGGGTGACACAGGGCAGCGTGACTTTTGAATGTAGTATATGTCTGGAGGCTGCTTACGAACCTGTGGTCAGTGTGTTATGGCCACCTGCTGTCTAAAGCTGGCATCAGCCGGGAGAAGGTTATCCCTCCTTATGGGAGGGAGCCAGAAGCCCCAGAACCCTAGATTGAAAACTCCACCCCGTCCTCAGGGCGAACCGCCAGCTTCAGAGAGCAGAGGGGGGGTTCCAGCCATTAGGTGATACTGGGGCTTTCATTCCTGTTTGGCTTTTTCACCACCATGTTCAATGCCTATGAGCAGATCTGGACAGGGTCACCATCCTCCAGCTGTCAAGATTCCCTCTTCCTATTTCTCTTCTGGCTGCTCAGTATTTGAACTGTGTCTCCTCCCTGCCCACCCCTAGCTAGAAGAGAATCAGTATTGGGGTTCCTTGCTGGCCCTTCGTTGCTTTCAGACCACCCCCTCACTTTCATGACCCATCTCTGTTTGCTGAGGAGGAGTGACCAGTCTGTGTGAACTGCTGGCCCAGTAGGGCATCACTTCTGCCCTGGAGGACAGACTACAGACAGCTGTGCAGCCCTCTTCTCTCCAAGCCTTTGTGTTCCCTCAGAGTTCTTAAGTTGATGTTTAAAGGTGGACTCTTCCCAGCTCCTCTGCTTGTTGATTTAATTTTTCTCTCCCTGATGTCTTGAGTTCTGATTCAAGTGTCAGTCTCCTTTCCATCCCTCAATATGTCCTTTATTACAGATTATAATAATAATAATAATAAAGACATGAAATGTTAAAAAAGAAAAATTAAAAGCAGAAAATTTAAATCCTAATAACTAAACACTATTTTAAGATGTGGTTTGAAAACTAAATTATATCTTTCCCTCAAGGCAAACATCCACTGAAAATTCATTATATTTCACCCCTTTTTTTCATTAACAAAATATGTTCTAACATATTCAGTAACGAAGGTTTACCCATGCAAATCATGGTATGGTACACTACTAACACTTGGGTATCTGGAGAGGATCATGATCAAGGTCAAGGCCAGCCTGGGGTACATGGTAAGACCCTGTCTCAAAAAAACATAGAAGATCCACCAGTAGTACAATAAGAGAAGAAACAGATGGGTATTGTGGTGCGTATAGATAATCCCAGCACTTAGGATGCTGAGGCAGGAGGACTGCTGTGAAGTCAAGGCAGCCTTGTTATACAGCAAAACCCTGTACAAAAAAATACAAACCAAACTTGTTGGACTAAATAAGCTATGTCTGAAGAAGTGTCTGATTGTCCTGTTTAATGGAATTCTTAAGACCTTACTATGCTGTGAAACCTATCACTTTGTATAAGGTAATTAATAAAATATTTTTATTAAAAAGGAAGGTCCCTTTGGTGTTATGTGTCTGTTTCTCTTTAAGATTTATTTATTTATCTATTTTATGTATGAGTGCTCTATCTGCATGTACACCTGCATGCCAGGACATCCCAATCAGCTGGTTGTGAGCCGCCGTGTGATTGCTGTGAATTGAACTCAGGACCTCTTGAGTTCATCTCTCCAGCCCCGCACTTCGTCCTGAGTTCAATTCTTGACCCCTGGAATTTTCTCTTAGGAATTTTGGATTTGGCTTGGTATCCCTGCAGCTGTGAACATCTATCTGCTTGTGGCTCCATTGCAACTCACTCCTTGAGCCTGATCCTTTGTGAAACCTCCTTTCTCCCAGTTGAAGAGCAGGACCTTTTTATGTTTGCTGCCATCTCCGTGACAGGTGGTGTAGTGACATGGTTTCAATCCCGAAGCATCACTTGTCGTTCTAAGGTTTGTTTTGAAAATTAAACCGAATGCTGGCAAAGTAAACCAGCTGTCAGGAAGCTGCTTGTAGGATAGCATGTGGGCAGAGGCAGATGTGTTATGATGCAGGCTAATTGATTTTTCCCTCTGGTGAACACGTGGCAGCTGTTAAAAGGGGACGCTGAGGCTGGAGACATGACTCAGTGACGACTGAATAGTCAGCCTCAGATCTCCGTGGAGGATCACAGCTCCAGGGGATCTGTTGCCCTCCTCTCGCAGAAGGCACACAACATGCATATGTACATGTGAAATAAGTACATGCAGAGTGTAAAGAGAGCTGCAGTTTGACCAAAGAACAGGCTAGCTGGCCACACCCCCCTCCACTTCACAATCACCCATCATATTTTCACAGACATCACAGGAGCATAGAACCCTATGCTGGGGAGAGGCAAAGAGATGAAAAGGTTCTGAACAGACCTCCCAGGGAGACAGAGGGGAAAAAAAAAA